GTGACGCCGCTGACGTAAGACGCTGCTGACGTGTATCTGGTGTGTGTGTGTGTGTGTGTGTGTGTGTGTGTGTGTATTCAGGTTCTGTTGTGGATCGCTGACGTAAGACGCTGCTGACGTGTATCTGGTGTGTGTGTGTGTGTGTATTCGGGTTCTGTTGTGGATCCGCGTTCAGTGACGCCGCTGACGTAAGACGCTGCTGATGTGTATCTGGTGTGTGTGTGTATTCGGGTTCTGTTGTGGATCCGCTTTCAGTGACGCCGCTGACGTAAGACGCTGCTGACGTGTATCTGGTGTGTGTGTGTGTGTGTGTGTATTCGGGTTCTGTTGTGGATCGCTGACGTAAGACGCTGCTGACGTGTATCTGGTGTGTGTGTGTATTCGGGTTCTGTTGTGGATCCGCTTTCAGTGACGCCGCTGACGTAAGACGCTGCTGACGTGTGTCTGGTGTGTGTGTGTGTGTGTGTGTGTGTGTGTATTCGGGTTCTGTTGTGGATCCGCGTTCAGTGACGCTGCTGACGTGTGTCTGGTGTGTGTGTGTGTGTGTGTGTATTCGGGTTCTGTTGTGGATCCGCGTTCAGTGCCGCCGCTGACGTAAGACGCTGCTGATGTGTATCTGGTGTGTGTGTGTGTATTCGGGTTCTGTTGTGGATCCGCGTTCAGTGCCGCCGCTGACGTAAGACGCTGCTGACGTGTGTCTGGTGTGTGTGTGTGTATTCGGGTTCTGTTGTGGATCCGCGTTCAGTGACGCTGCTGACGTGTGTCTGGTGTGTGTGTGTGTGTGTGTATTCGGGTTCTGTTGTGGATCCGCGTTCAGTGACGCTGCTGACGTGTGTCTGGTGTGTGTGTGTGTGTGTGTATTCGGGTTCTGTTGTGGATCCGCGTTCAGTGCCGCCGCTGACGTAAGACGCTGCTGATGTGTATCTGGTGTGTGTGTGTGTATTCGGGTTCTGTTGTGGATCCGCGTTCAGTGCCGCCGCTGACGTAAGACTCTGCTGACGTGTATCTGGTGTGTGTGTGTGTATTCGGGTTCTGTTGTGGATCCGCGTTCAGTGCCGCCGCTGACGTAAGACGCTGCTGACGTGTATCTGGTGTGTGTGTGTGTGTGTATTCGGGTTCTGTTGTGGATCTGCGTTCAGTGCCGCCGCTGACGTAAGACGCTGCTGACGTGTGTCTGGTGCGCCCGAGCTTCGTTTACAGTCTGAGGGAGACGCACGCTGTAAACGAAACAATCTTCGCAAACATGTCTAAGGATTTCCACACAGAGAAAGACTTGCATTTTTTGCCCAGCCATATTTATTTGAACCCGAATACACGGACGGTCGGACGCACCAGACACACGTCAGCGGCGTCTTACGTCAGCGGCGTCACTGAACGCGGATCCACAACAGAACCGGAAGACAATACAATGCTGAATAAAGGCGTAGTTTTTCAGACATTTACTCAGTACTTTTCAGGACAAATACTGCATGATGCAACGTGTGTGAGAGAGACGCGTGAGTGACAGAGAGACGGAGGGAGAGCAGGGAAAGGAAATGCAACTGAAAGAATACGCTATGTGTTTTAAATAGCGTTTAAAAAAATGAACGAAACGCAATAAGCTATGTGGCGGCCGGTGTGGCGCAGCAAATAAGGCCACGTTTACACAAAGCCGGGTATTTAGAGAAACGAAGTTTCTTGGAGAACAGAAGATAGACTATTCTCGAATAAGAGAGATGCCGTGTCGAGGATAAGGTGTAGTTTCTACTCAATGGGGTTTCCAGATCTCCAAACACCGACCAAATTTAGCGCTTTTACAGGTTCATTAAGAGGAATGAAGCTGAACTTGAACACTAACCCTCCAATACAGGGTCTATCAGTAGTCCATCAATGAAAGCAAGGTATAGTTACATGTGGGAACAAATTAGCCTCAAATATTGTATGGGTCAGGTGTAGATTGATACAAATGCTGTTCTTCCCCTTAATGTTTGTACAAAAATATGCAAGCCTAATTTTTAATTTACGAAGATTTGTGATTTATTTTAAAGCTATAGATGACGGGAGAGTATTTCACACATTTTTGCCATTTTTGTAAACTTTATTGTCCTTTTTCCAGGAAATTTGTCTTGGGCTCAAAGCTACATTAATACACCACATACATACAGCAAATGGACTCGAGGCTGCGTTAACACACAATATACATATAACAAATGCACACACAGAAACCATAGACCTACATTACTGCATTAATTGATAGAGGAAAGCAGGCACACATTTTATGCTTAAATAAGTTTCATAGGTAGAAATGTGTTGGGTACACCGTGCTGCGTTGCCATGGGAACATCCCAGGTGAAGATGAGGAGGAGGAGGAAATTATGTTGTCTGTCATTGTTCCCTTCGCCAAGTGCGTTTTCAAACCGCTACATAACGGCCCCCGTGTGCCTGCTCACTCCTGAGGCACGACTCCTTGTGTCTTCATTCTCACTGTCATTGGTTTGGCTTGACTTTTTTTTATCATAATTTAGACTTTTTGTCATCATTTTTTACTTATGTCATTTAGCCTGTCATAATTTTGACTGTCAAAATTTTAACCTTTTCTCATCATTTTTATTGTTATAATTGTGACCTTTTATATTATAATTTAGCCTCATAATTTTGACTTTTTTTTCTTTATTTAGCCTGTCATAATTTTAACTATCAAAATTTACTTTTTTATGTCATAATTGTACCGTCATAATTTTGACTGTTTCTGTCATAATTTTGACTTTTTGTCATAATTTTGACTTGTCATAATTTAGTCTATCATAATTTTAAGTTTCATTGACTGTCATAATTTTAACTGAAATATTTTACTTTTTGTCATTTGAATTTGTAATTTTAACGTCATAATTTAGACTCTCGATTTTGACTTTGTCAATTTTTATGTAAATGTAGGCTCAATTATGACGCTCAATTATGACACTCAATTTTGACTATGTAGAGTAGACTGTCATAATTTAGTTAATTTTGGCTTTTAAATTAAATTATTTTGCTGTAAAAAAATGTAATGTCATAATATAGACTCAGGTTTGACTGTCAATTTTGACTTATGCAAATGTAGCATGTGATAATTTAGTTTTTTTAATGTCATAATTAGATTTTTTTTTTTTTACATTTTTTTATTATACTTATGCCAAAATGTTGGCTTTTCATATCATAATTATGACTTTAATGTCAATTTAGACTCATAATATTTTTTTTTGTCATAATTTGAACATTTTTGTCGTCATTTTCCTTTTTTTTTTTTCTTAATTTGAACATTTTTGTCGTCATTTTCCTTTTTTTTTTTTGGTCAATTTAGGTAATTTAGATTCATAATTTCGATTAAGTACGTCATAATTTTAACTTTTCATCTCGGCAATTCATGTTGTAATTTTAGCTTTTTAATGTTATAATTTAGGACTTTTCTGTAATAATTTTGCCTTTTTTGTCATAATTTTCATCTCATAGACCTGGTTATACATGCAATGAAATATAATTTTTCTCTCATGTATCACTTTTTCAGTTTGATTTATTTGATTGAAATGTTTGTAAAGCATATGATTTCATTCCTACATGTTTATCTAGCAACAGTCGTGTCATATAACACAATAGTTTTTTAAACCATAATTTTCCACTTTCTCTCTCTCTGCGTCTGCGTTCCCTGTACAACGACGTAACTATCATATCGCAAATGTGTCGTTCAACCACGCTGGTTATTAATGTACTAACTTCTTTTTTATGAATCTGTTTCTATGGAAGCTTGTTTCCGCCACTGAATAAAAAAATAATAATAATAATTGCGACTTTTTATCTCACAATTGCGAGATATAAAGTCAGAATTCTGAGAAATAAAGTCGCAATTATGAGAAATAAAGTCACAATTGCGAGATATACAGTCGCAATTCTGAGATATAAAGTCGCAATTGCGAGATATAAAGTCGCAATTCTGAGAAATAAAGTCGCAATTGCGAGATATAAAGTCGCAATTCTGAGAAATAGTCGCAATTCTGATAAATAAAGTCGCAATTCTGAGATATAAAGTCGCAATTATGAGAAATAGTCACAATTGCGAGATATACAGACGCAATTCTGAGAAATAAAGTCGCAATTCTGAGAAATAAAGTCGCAATTCTGATATATAAAGTCGCAATTATGAGAAATAGTCACAATTGCGAGATATACAGTCGCAATTGCGAGATATAAAGTCGCAATTCTGAGAAATAAAGTCGCAATTCTGAGAAATAGTCGCAATTCTGAGAAATAGTCGCAATTCTGAGAAATAGTCGCAATTCTGAGAAATAGTCGCAATTCTGAGATATAAATTCGCAATTATGAGAAAAAGTCGCAATTGCGAGAAAAAAAGACAGAATTGAGACTTTTTATCTCACAATTGCGAGTTTACATCTCAGAATTCTGACATCTTTTCTCAGAACTGTGAGATATAAACTCACAATTGCGAGTTATCAGGCCAATTCTAAGGGAAAAAAAACCCTAACGTTTCCTAAAAACTAACTAAATTCTTAAACAATAGTTTATCTCACACAATTCTGACTTTACAACACGCAATTCTGACTTTATAACACGCAATTGCGACTATATCAATTAATTCTGACTTTATCAATCAATTCTAACTTTATAACACGCAATTCGGACTTTATAACACGCAATTCTGACTTTATATCAATCAATTCTGACTTTATATCTCGCAATTGTGAGAAAAAAAGTCAGAATTGTGTGATAAAAAGTCGTAGTTACCTTTTTTATTTTTCATTCTGTGGCGAAAACAAGCTTCCATACGTTTGAGATGGAAATAATGCTAGAGTTGCTATAAATTGCAGACATGGCATCTGAGGACTAAATATCATTTTTCTCAGTTATTTTTCTTTCTTTCCATACCCAACAGTTTAAGTGGTAGTGTATAAATGGTGTGTGTGTAGTAGTTTTCATGTGTTCACTGATCTGTGTGTGTGTGTGTGTGTGTGTGTGTGTGTTTAATGCAGGCGGAGACTGGGAAAGGAGACGCCTGGACTAAATACATGGCAGAAGTGAAAAAGTATAAAGCGCATCAGTGTGGAGACGATGATAAGACCAGACCGCTGGTCAAATAGACTGGAGCTCTTCCTGTGGGCCGCACTGCCACATCATCATCCTCTCACACACACACACACACAGTTATTCACGCTCTTTTCCTTCAACTCTGTTTCCAGATTGCGTTTTACCTTGTGCGCTGCCGTATTTGACCGTCTGTTGGATTCTGATTATTTTTATGATGTAATTTGCAGTGTATTCTTCAGTCCATGGCATTAGAAAAGCTCTCGCTCACCTTGTTGATATTTTGTACTCCACATGTTTGGTACTTTAATGTCAATTGATGAAGATTGATGATGAAATTAAAGTCACAGTACCGCAGAATCGCCCGTCTTCTGGCTCTGTGTGACGTAACGAACACCCCATCTCATTGTTAATGCATTTTACACACTTTACTACAGTTCGGATACCATGCTTTTGTCTTTAACAAAAATAATTACAAATGATTCTGGATTGAATCTCCACCTTTGTATGACGTTTGCTTCTATGTTTTTGGATGAAATTACTTGCCATGTGTAATATAAACGCCATTATCTAAAACACAACAAAAAGTGCTTATTGTCTTTAAGCACTTTCTTTTTTCAGAAAATCTAATTTAAATAAAGGTAAATTGGTCATAGTCAATAGTACTTGACTTTAAAACTTGTTTCAGTCCAAATTACCACTGATAATAATTAATATAACATGATTATATCATATAACGCTTTCTGCATTGTCAAGTGTAATTTGTTGACACAAAACCTTTAACATTATTGAATTAGATATTTAAAAGTGATCTAAATCCTGTGTAAAGAGTAGAGTCTGACAGTAACAGTGAGATTTTATAAGCGCACACCTTATTTAATTTAAAACATTAAATAACCTCGAATTAATCATTTTAAGGCATGCATTAAAAAAATGATGGAAGTGACATTTGCTCTCATATCTCTATATATCCCTCTTGACTAGAATCAGTTTAAATTGATAAACTGTTTGTTGAACCTACTTTGTATTGCATTAAGCTCAAGTATGTATAAAACGATACAATTCAATAGTGCTGAAGTTACATTTCAGACCAAAATCATTTGCAAAGTGCCCTTAAAACATGCAAATTAAAAATCCTGGGCACTTCTAGAGCAGCTGCACAAGTTTTAAGGATAGTTTGGATTTAAACATGGTAAAATCAATCAATTTAGCCGATAATAAACATGCCTCAGAAACATCAGACACACACAAAGTTTTACTAAGGCTTCTGCATTTTTATTTCGCACGTGTCCTGAAACGCAAGTAAACAAATCCTGAAAGTTCAAGTATATTACAATCGCCCGCCTCCGTCATTTGGTTTTCAGTTTGTTTTGACTTTAAAGGGGCGTTTCGTTCGTGAACAGCACCAGAGACACCGACCTACACGAGAGAGGGAGGAACACATTCACTCGCTCATGAATATTCAAACACTCGACACGTTAAAAAACTGCCCGCTAATGTACATGCAACACACACACACACACACACACACACACACACACACACACACACACACACACACACACACACGTTTCCCTCCCCGTCCACAGTGATTAGGTCTGTCTGTGTAAACATTGATACATATGTACAACTGACGCATCATTATTCAAACTAATTCATTATTCATGATATTCAAATGCGTATAAAAACAGTTCCGTCTCATTGGACAGCCAGCAGATCATGCATAAAAGTGGGCGGAGTCAGTCAGCACTGGATCGGCCAGCGGTCGGGAGCTCTGTGATGTCATAAGGACTTCCTCTGCAAGTCTCCACCCTGCGTTTGATTGACATCTGCACAGACAGAGAGAGGGGTCAGTGAAGCGAACACGGGCGGCGTGTCCCGACAGAAGATGATGAAGAAAGCGGCTAACAGAAGACACATGCAGCCAGCGGGAGGCGTCGTCAGCGTTTACCTGAGAAAGCCAGCTGCAAGTGTGGCGGCAGAGCAGCCTGAGCCCCTGACATGAGACCCTTTAACACATCTGAGGAGAGACGGGACACACACACACACCGACACGCATGAGACGGGATGGACAGAGAGACGAAACCAATGGAGGAAATCAGATTCATGAGGACGAAGAGCAGAAGATGAGCCACAAAAACACCAGCAGCAACAGAAACTACTGAACACACACGACTGCAGTGCTTACGTCAACTAAACACTCCGTTAATTCATTCATTATGATGTTTTCCCAACAAACAGTGGAGTCTGTGTAATATCTGCTTCACATAGTGTGCAAAATGATCAAGGTTAGAATGTAATGTGGTTTAAATGTGTTGAACATTCCAAAGGAACAAATCTGAGGTATTTGGAATTTAATGCGATTCAAATGTTTTCAACATTCCAAAAGAACATATTTGAAAGTTTAATGTGGTTTAAATGTCTGTAACATTCTATGAGAACACATCTGAGGTATTTTACAGACATTTAAACCACATTAAACTTTCAATTGTGTTCTTTTGGAATGTTGAAAACATTTGAATCACATTCAATTTCAAATACCTCAGATTTGTTCTTATAGAATGTTACAGACATTTAAACCACATTAAACTTTCAAATATGTCAATTGTGTTCTTTTGGAATGTTGAAAACATTTGAATCACATTCAATTTCAAATACCTCAGATTTGTTCTTGTAGAATGTTAGTTTAAAAATGACAGCGACTTGCTATTAGAAGCAGTTTTGAAAAGCATTGGAATACTGAATATAACTGTAAAATGTTAGTCAATGAGATTTTCCCCCATAAAAAAATGAGCTTTTTACTACTTAAATGTCAAGTTTGTTCAGTGTTGTGACTAGTTAATTTTCATGATTATTACAGATTTGATCAATTAGTTATTCCAGCTATCACACAAATACACACATATATATGGTGTCCAGTAGAAAACCTAACAAATTCTGGCGATCTGACAGTATGTTAACTGCAGCAGTGTATATTACACGAGACTGAAGGGCCAAGCTGAAGACTTTATTCTCTTACATCTGACTCAGAAATACTAGTGATTAATAACTGGGTCTATACTGGGTTGTTTTCCAGATACTGGTATTGGGAAATAACTGTGTCTGCTTGACGGATAAATCAAAAACATGTTTTTTTCTACTTGAATCACTTCTGGAATATTTATCACTGCCAGAATATTCCTGATACACGCTCACTTTAAAGGATTTATATTTTAACTTATTTTACAATATTTATTGTAATATTATTTATAAACGTATTTTATGTGTTTATTATTTAACACCATATCAGCAGCAAAGACTATTTTAATGGCAAACTAGTCGTGACACTAGAAATTCACTAAATTAGGGCCCTATGATTTCCGCGATTACGGAATCGCGGACGGAATTACGGAATTGGCAAATTAACGCGGAATCTAGTGTTAACGCGGAATTTTGTGGAATTTTACATATTTGGATTGAAATTCTGTTTTTGTGTGGGAGAAGAACGTATGTCTGGTGAAAATGCAGACCGGGGGAAGCAAATCTGGGCGACACAACCCCTCCCGTCATTTCAGCTCCAATGACGGCATCAAAACAATGAAAGCATGGCGAAGCGGCTCTCCACGACTCTGCTTTCGTCGGCGAAAAAGTTAAGAAACTCGACGCTATAAGCCCTCAGTACCGAGCCGAGCAGTTTGCACGTGACTTTTATGCAGTGTTTCCCACACATAGACTAATTCGCGGCCACAAAATCAACTCCGGCCGCCACATATTCCGTTTCGTCTCTCTAACACTTACGCGTCTCTCTCACATACACACACGCGCACACACACACACACACACACACACACACCGCGTCTGTCTATGAGGCGCCGGACTGGACAAAAGCGAAGCGAACTCCGCGAGCGACACTGGGCGAGAGAGAGACAGAGTGTGACTTTTATTTAAACTAATATAATTTATTTTACTGGACAGTTTAAAGCTCATAACCATATTTTGTTGTTACTTGAAGAGTGCAGTGTCATGTTGCATCATGCAGTATTTGTCCTGAAAAGGCTACTGAGTAAATGTCTGTAATTTAAGGTCATTCCTATTTTATTTGTATACATTTTAATCATTAACTTTAAAAGCACACTCTTTTTATGACTAAAATAACAGTAAAGGGTAAAAAAAAATGAATTCCCAAAAATTTAAACGGAAAAAACGGAATTTGGGAAAAAATAAAACGGAATTTGGGAAAAAATAAAACGGATTTCATAGGGCCCTACTAAATCAAGAACACATCTTATACAATTTAACAATATTTTCTTACAACAAATACAGTAAAAATATAGCAATTGCATGAGCTTTTTCAGTTCAATATATTTCATAGAAAATCTATTTTCTCAGGAGAATAATAAAAATCAAATAATTAAAATAAATAAATAAATCATGTAATTCTTCACCTTTCAAATTTATATATATATATATATATATATATACATTGTTATAATCAGTAATAAATGCGCTCATTATGCAAGTGTGTATCAGAAACATTACAGCAGTAATAACATGCTATAGGGAATTAAAAAAAAAGCAAAAAGTGTCAATTCTGTGAGATCTAACGAAGTATGTAAAATTCACCTCACTAAGAGTTTTTAAACGATAATAATAATAATACAGTATTAAATATATTTACGTGTGAAGAGCGACTCACTCTGGGGAAGGTTGAACCCTGAGCTGCTGGGATTGGTCGAGACGCCGGAGGTCGCCGTGGAAACCACAGATGAAGGAAGATTCAGCAGGTTTGGAAACTGGAACGGGAGAGAGACGGGAACCAGTCCTCCCAACATCCCGAAACCCAGAGGCAGAGACGGGCCGGCCGAACTGAGCAGAGCGCTGGCGGCGGGCGACACCTGCACACAGGGGAAACATCATTGATCTTCATTAGGCCTCTCACTGTGATAAAGCAGCGCATCCCGATGAGTCCCACTTTCTGCTCCAATGTGCAAAACTATTAAGAAACTATTGCACTGATTGAAATGCCAGAACTTCTGAAATTTGTCAGCAAGTGGAACGAAAATAAGTGATAAAAACACTAGAAAACCAAATCGCAAAGATGCCTAATACATATAACTATGATAAATAAATAAAACAATCAAAAAATAACAATTTAATTAAAGTTTTTTTTTAAATAATATATATATATATATATATATATATATATAGAGAGAGATCTCATTAATTAAAAAAATTTGTAATTAAAAAATTCTTCGGTCTAAATCAGATGCTAGTTATTTTTTAAATAAAAATAATGAATCAATACATTAAAATTTAATGAAAAAGTAAAATTATGCCGGAGAGACCTGTGTGAGCTGAGTCGCTGCGGCCGTAGACACCGATGTGATTGTCTTCACCCCCTGATTAGCTCCGCCCACTTGTCTGTGCCGCTGGCTGTGATTGGCCGTGCCTGCCACGGGCGAGGCGCTGGTCACCGGCTGCTTAGCAACAGCTGTGGTTGTCGTGGTGAGGCTGGAGATGTTGTTGCCCTGAGAGGAATTCTTCTGCCCCACGGGGGAGCTGTAACCGCCGGCGATGAACCCCGCGTGGAAGCCCTGGTTCTTAGAGGCGTGCTGGTGCATGCTGGGTAACGTGGGCGGCCTGGAGACGGGCGGGCCGGTGGGAGTGAGCTTGATGATGTTTGAGCTGGGGTTGTGTGGCGATTTGGTGAGCGTGGCCTGCATGGGCGTGATGAAGCCCGGTTTGGGCAACTCGTGGGGCGCAAGTTTTTTAGCTTGCGGCGTCACGGTCACGTGGAAAGGCTGAGCGGTTTTAACGTTTATGAGCGACGGCGAGGAAGTGGTGAGAAGTGCGCGCGAATGCGGCGATGAGCTGTTATTGCTTGTTTTGATGATACCCGTTGACATGGCGACCACTGATTTTGCCGGAATCTTTTGAGGAGCGTGAAGAGGCGATGATGTGGGAGGTGGGCGGGGCTTCGGTTGGGACACGCCCAGTTTCGTGGGCGGAGTCACAGTCGGTCGCTGAGCGGGAATAACCGAAGGCCTCTGAACCTGGGATAAAACACTCACTCCTTTAACGACCGGAGACGCAGACGAGGAGGAGAGGATGCTGGGAGAGTGAGGCGGGAGGGTGTTGGCGCTCTTCTTGGCCAGGTGTGGCGACGGCGTGTGCAGCGACTGGGCCGGTTTGGGAGGGTCGGTGGACGGCGGGCTGTCGGACTGGACCAGGCCTTTAGCGACGCTGCTGAGCATGGCTAGAGCGTGAGAGATGGAGTCCAGCGACGGGGCCGTCAGGTCCTCGTCCAGAGAGTCCGACAGGCAGATGGGCTCCGGCGGGGACGGCCCGCGCGGGACGGCGGGGGGAGGGGGGGTGGGGTCCACGGAGAGGGCCGGCCGCTGGAGAACACCACTGTCCTGAGGCTTGGGTTTGGCTTTGGGGGTCGGTAACATCCGCTTCTTCACTCTGAAAAACACAAAAACAAATCAATGCAGTTTCAGACACTCAAACAGTGATGACAAATACAAAGATTAAAAAATACAATAATTATCAAAGTACACATCAAAGTTACACATGAATTTTGAACAATACCCTTTCTTGTCTTAGGACAAGTTTGATGAACTTTTTGAACCACTTCAAATGTTGACTTGTAAATATTTTTTAATTAAATAATATATTTTCAATATTTTTAAGTTTAATTAAAATTTAAATATTTGTAATGCTTAAATGCAATAATAACAATCATTTAATGTTGAATTAAAATACAAAATTAGCAATATTTTTTAATGTTTTAAACTCCTGGAACGTTTTCACTCCAAGGATCCAGTAAGCGAATTTTAAATATGTTTATGTTTAATTAAATAAAATAAAATAAAAATAATAAATTATTTTAATGCTTAAATGCAAATAAAATAATTTAATGTTTAAAATAATAAATTAGCTGTATTTTTTATGTTTAATGAAAACTATTTAAAAATATATTTTTAAAGTTTAATTTAAAAAAAAAACTTGAAGTGAATTGTTAAATTTTAAGCCTGTTATCAATTTTATTACCGAGGATTATTATTTTTTCTAAGTAAAATTACCATCATGCTAAATGCTAATAAAAAAAAACCTTGTTTATTATTGACACTGTAGCCCAGGGGTTTTCAAAGTGTGGGAAAACGACGCCGTTGTTTCCGCTCCTGTTTTCGATAAGATCATTTTAAACTCCTGGAAAGTTTTCAGTCCAAGGATCCAGTGAGGGAATGCAGTCGAGCAGTCGTAACGCAGAGGAAACACGGCAGATATCATCACAGACGGCTGAGAGAACAGTGTTTTCGGCATCAAAGCACGATCTCTCTGCCATCTGTGATTGTTTCGGAGCGACATGAGCCGTTTCTCTGTGTGAAATACAGACTTGAGTGACCGGCGGCTCAAAACACCCAACCGCTGCATGAGCATAATGACATACACACACACACCTCTCAGTTGGATAACGCAAACCAGTGTCGCGCTGGTAAAGTTTTGATGGATGACGACTGTAATCCGGGTAAAGACGAGTACAGTGCCAAACAGGAGTCGAGCATTAGGCACGATAGACGAGAGTGTTATTACTGATGATAGTTGTTCAACACTGAAGATTAGTTTTACTCATTGTGGATCATGTAGCATGACAATTTAACATGCAATTACTAAAATATGAATATATAATGTAATATGTATTAATGATTATGTGGTGAGCTGTAATTTTTCCTCATTTTATTATTAAATTATATTTTTTCAACCCTAACCACGGGTAACCGTTTCAACTTCCTAAAATGAACTAATGAATCGCTTACAATAGATCTGTGAATGTGCAGTAATACGAAGATTTCAATTAATCTAGATCCAGCTGTTAGTAAACGTTTAAAAATAACCAGATGCCTTAGAGAACGGCATTTTAAAGACATAAACGCCATGATAAATGTTATATTAACACTCCAATTAATACTTTAAAAATGTACATGACATTCAAATTGAGCACATAATACATGTTTTTGGTCTCAATCTGGTTCATTGATTGCATTTTATTCCCCTAAAATGACTAAGTATCAGCCCTAAATTGTGTCCCAGTAATAAAGTGTCAAATTAGGAAAGCAAATTAAGTTGTGAATGACACAATCGTTTACAGTGGCTCCATATCGTGAATGAAAATCCTGAGGAATAAATCTAGATTCAGCATCTAGCTAGCGTTTAAAAATAAACCAGAGTGGAGAAACTCACGTGTTTCCAGTGAGATGATTGTGAGCTATTCGGCTCTCTTTGAACAACATCCTGAGAAGTAGAGAGAAAGAGATACATCAGTCAGGATGTTTAGTGAATCCACATTATGCAGCAGCCAGCAGAGGTCCGGGACCTGGTGCTGTGGGGCCGAAACCCACCTGGCCTGCATCCATCCTTTGGGCCAGAGCGGTTTGACCTCCGTCTCCATGAAGACCTTCAGGTAATCCTCAGGCGAGAGTGAGCTCTGAGCCTCCAGCACGTAGCAGCCCAGCTTCACCCGCACCAGATTACACAGCAGAGTCCTGCGCAGACACACACACACACACACACACAGATATCAAGCTTCCACTGCAGGTCTGGCTCTTGACGATCGCGTTAGTGATCATCTATGACTTTCACCTGAGTTTATCATCCCATACAAATTTCTTCCTGGGTCCCATCACTCTTCGTCCTGGCTTCTCATCGTCTTCCTCCTCTGAGCCGTTTCTGTCGCCGTCTTCGGTCTGCTGCCTGCACACACACACACACACACACACACCAGTAAACACACAGAAGTCTCTTCGTTTATTAGGACTCTATTAAAACCGTTTTATTTCTCCCCAAATTCCACTTTTTTTAAAACGTTTTTATGGATTCCGTTTTTTTTTTTTTTTAAATACAATTTAACAACACTTTATTAAAAGAATAAACAAAAATGACATGTTTAAGGCCCTATGAAACACAATTTATTATTCTTTTCTCAAATTTTCAGAAAGAATTCAGAACAAATTTTCTCTGTTTTATATTTACCAAATTCGGTGTTTTCTGTTTTAAGTTTTCTGGATTACATGTTAATGGCTTTAATTACATTTTAATTATCAAAAAGCATGTCTAATTAATTAAATTCGTAAAAACAACAATTTATAAAATTTTGTATAAAAAAAAAAAAAAAGAGAGATGAAACTGGGGCGCTAATAAGCTGATTTCACGCAGCCGTTATTTTGAAATCGAAAGCGAGGCTCCGGTGGGAAGAAAACCGGAAGTGCCACCTTTAATCACAGGCAGGAGAGTCGCGAATGCAATGGCGTATTGTTGTGTTTAATGTAGAAATGAGTTATTCTAAAAATGTACATACATTTCTTTCATACTTTAGACTATATACAGTGAAATTCATTTATAAATAATTTTTATATAATTCAGAAAGTGAAAAAATAAGCAGGAATGAACTATACACATATCCTATATTGTATATTAACATCCAATAGTGTAAATCGCGGCAGCAGCTTCAGGTTGGTAGTCCAAGGCATTGTTGTTTATCTGTACTTCCGGGGTTCTTCCCACCGGAGCCTCGCTTTCAATTTCAAAATGGCGGCTGCGTGAAATCAGCGTATTGAGTCAAACTTAGAATCGTGCACTGAAGACTAACAGACAAGGTCTTGAATTTTGCACCCCCCAGAACACTTGGAATATACAACGCATAAGACATACGTGTCACATGGGATCCTTCTGTGATACTTGTGTCTTTTTTTTTTTTTTTATAACTTGATGCTGGTTGCTTTTCACTGCCATTATATGGACTAGAGAGAGTGACACTTTTTTTTTATTAAAAATTCTCCTTTGTGGTCCATAAAAGAAAGAAGAGCAACACGGTTGCATAAACTGCTTAGACTAATTTTAAAAGTTAGTCATCGACGCTGGGAACTATCCCTTTAATACAGTAGTGAACATTTGAAGTGGATCAAAACCGTTCATCAGTTATACAACAATACCCGTTCTTGTCTTAGGACAACTTTGATGAACTTTTATGATCCACTTCAAATGTTGTCTACTGCATATATCTATTTTTTTTAACCCTTACTCAGTAGCACTCCAGTTTCTTACTTGGCAACTCTGGCCATGCAGTCCATGTTGTATCGAGCGATCTGCTCCGGCATGACGCTGCACACGGCCAGCTTGAGTTTGAGCAGCGGCGTCCGCAGCCGGTCGTCCTGAATGTTCAGACTCAGCTTCTTCAGCCGCTTCAGCAGAGCCTCTTTATTACACGGCACGAACGCCTCCAGATGAGTGTAGACGGCGGCGCGCACAGAGGCAGACTGTTCCTGCACCTGCAGCTCGATACTGCACACACACACACACACACACACACAGAGAGAGAGAGTGAGATGATCGAACCAACCAGAGACACTGGGAATGAAAACAACAGTCAAATGAACTCACTCCAGCAGGATGTTGTTCATGTCCAGCGTGAAAAACTTCTTCCTGCCCTCCATATCAAACTGACGAGACGCCTTTGAGGAAAACAAGCGGTTAACAACAGCTCAAATGTAATGGCTATCTTCATGGACACAAATACTTTAAAAAAGTAGCAAAATATCAAAGGAAAAACAAAAGAAAATTGACAATTCATCTTCCATAAAACTAAAGCTGCAGCTCATATATCACTTTCACAATCCAATCATCTGTAAAGTCAACATGAAAGTAAAATTGAGGCTGTTTACTTTAAAACACGTTTCTGGTCTTGATGCGTTTTATAATTATGTGTTGTTAGCAAAAAATGATAAAACATCGCCATCCCATCAAATCCTTATGGATTAAATCAAGTCCAGTCCTACATTTTCCAGTTGAATATTCTGCTTCACTTTATGAAAGTTAAACTTTATGAAATGCATCACATTATGAAAGTAAAATAATTGCGGATGTCATAGCATGTTTACTTTGAAAGATTGAAGACACGTCCCATAATAGACATCAGAACAAAACCGCATCTTCTGATGTACTGACACTATTATACCCTGTTTTCCACAGATCTCCATCTTTCTAACCTTCCGCTCTTCCTGTTCTCCCTGTATTCTGGCTATTTCCTCTCTATCATGTTGATCTTCTCTTCCTCCTACACCTCTCTCTACCTCGTCTCCTTCACTCTCTCTCTTTCTAATGGAATATGCCTGGAAAGAAAAGATGGCACACACACAAACACACACACACTCACACCCACCAACACACACAAACACACACACACATACACTTTTCAACTGCGCTCCTGTTTCACATGAGGATCATGAATCAGTGTTTATGCAACTAAACGCAGCGACTGAGATGTGCAAGTACAGGTCAGCACTCACCGCCCGCAGGTCCTCTATGCGCTTGATAAGCGGAGCAGGGAGGCTGCTGGGAAGCGGCGGTGGCGGCACCAGCCCCGTCTTCTGCACCCGACCCGCGACTCCGGGCTTCTGGGAGCCGTTCTCGCTCTGCCCGGGACTCGCCGGCTGAGGGGAGTCCAGCAGCCCGAAGTCCAGGTCGCCCATCAGCTCCTGCAACATGTCGTTCTCCGTGGCTCCGCCCAGCAGTGACATCATCGCCGGGTCAGAGGTCAGGTCGGCCATGGAGAGGTCGTTGCTGGGGGCGACGGCGGCAGCGTTGGGCTGCGCGCGGACGAGCTTGACGACCGACGCCGGGTGCTTCTTGCGGATCTCCTCTTTCTCGCGGCTGAAGCGACGGATCATGGCCGCCAGAGACAGAGAGTCCTTCATCAGCTTCTTCCTCTTCTTCTTCTCCGGCCGGTTCAGAGCCGACACGCTGTCAGAAAGAGAGGAACAAAACTGGCGTCGTACACACTAGGGTTCGAAAGATTGGGATGAGTACGGAAACTTATGCTTTTAGTTATTAAATTGATCGAAAACACACATTTATAAATGTTATACAAGATTTCTATTTCAAATAATAATAATATAGTAATAATATTTCACAATTTTACTGTATTTTTCATCAAATAAATGCAGCCTTGGTGAGCAGAAGAGACTTATTTCACAAAAAATCTCACCAACCCCTATGTTTTGAGTGTATATGTGCGTTCCATACAGGTTTGGAACGACAATTGTTTACATTTCTACCATGTTCACAAACAAGTCAATTTATTATTCTAATAAATACAGGCTTACGACATATTAACTACATATTTCTTTGACAGTATTTGAGTTTGTTCATGAATGTTTAAAGACCCAAAACCATCCCATCAGCAAAAATGAAAATTTTGAAAACAAATGAAAACACAAAAGGGCACAGAAGTTTTTTTTTTTTTTTTTTAAGTTGAACTTTGTTTAATTTGACACTGCATCTAAAAAATAAAAAGCAGTGAGACGTGGCGTAACGTTCAAAGACGTCCATCTAGTGCTTGTTTACATAAAAGCAGCGTACTGAAACACAAAAAGCATGTGAACTCACCCTGGCTTGGGTACTTTGAATTTCCTGGGTTTCTTCTCCTCCAGGCAGCCGTCCTGCTTCTTTTTCCTTCTCTTAATCACCCGCTCCTCTCCATCCTTCTGTGAATCAGAGTCAAGGACATCATCTCAGTCAATCACACCATCACAGACTCAAAACGCTGATCAGATCTCTGATAGAAATCCCTCGGAATATAAAACACTGGAACTGACCATTAAGAAGAACAGCATTACTTGGTAAAAAAAAGTCATATTGTGATTATTTTGAACTGTGATAAGATAAAAATGTACCAAATAGTTTTTTCAAGTTATGGCTAATAATCAATAAATATGCCTATATTACAAATATAAATTAATTTGTTAAAAAATTTAATATAAATAGTCAAAACTATTGTTATATGCACCACGCAACTCACACTGAGATGCACTTGAGCTTTTAAAGGATCAAAGCTTTGCCATAATCAAATGTATCCCTTAAAATTAGTGCTAGATGATCATCTAAATCTTAATAGGTCGAAACAATGAAACATCCAATAATGGCCAGTACCATAAATCAAAAAAAAGTGTCAATAACCGATATTGTGCCATTATTGTGCAAACAAATGTATATATATGTATATATATATATATATACACATATATATAGTGATTATTGTGGTTAAACATGTGATTAGGCCATCCTTAAAAATATTCTTGTTTGCCGTAACCCGACCGACCCTGTCAATTTAGGACCGACCCAATTTTTAATTTTTTTTCCCTTTTAGTCCGACCGACTTGCCGGTTGTAAACTTGCATTAAGACCGACCGATTTTTTTTTTACTCTTCAAACAACTAATACAAATGCAATAAAATATCAATTATATTATAGTAAGTATTGTGAATATAAATTGCATAGGCTACGTTCTTTCTTTTAAATAAAAACCCGTGGCGTCATATATGATGATTATGTTTACACCATTGGTTTACGCATGTCACACTATGGTCTGTGCGTTCGCTTCTTTTCATTCACGGTCAATGGTTCGCGCTCGGTGATGATGGCTGCGGCGCGGCTGCTTGTGAAATACGTCTGTATGAGCCTAAACATTTAGGCGCTCATTATTCGAAATTCTTAATGGTCAAATAGGGAATAGATGTTAACGGCCTTTTCTCGGAGCGCGTCCAGCTCGTCACGATATGGCCGCCGCGAACGCGCGTCACACAGCAACGGCAGGCTCTGACAAACACACATAAGTATGGGAAGCCAAACACACCGAAAGTGGGAAGAAACGGCGCGGTGTTATAGAGTTCGCGCAGCGCGGACATGTAATCTGTGCGGCTCAATGGACCGAGACGCGCGAGCCGCGACAGACTCGACAGCGCAGGGAGGAAGTGTTTGCTTGCGGGACCTAATCTCACCAGCGCCGCGCTGACCAATAAAACAACACATCCCATAACGAAATGTACTAAATTACACTAAAGAAAATCGACCATTCCATAATATGTCAGGACTACTTAATATAGTTTCTACAATGCGCCTAGCCATTTGACCTCACTGATTTCCGTTAATAATAGCAGATGTTTATGGGTCCAATTTCAACGAATAGTGCCAAATGCGCTGTTTTATTGGTCGGCGCGGCGCTGGTGAGATTAGTCATTTTAATTTATTTGTTTCCCTCTGAAAACCCAATCCTTTTCCCCAAATGAATGCAGCTGGAATTAATGCAATAAACATGTTTTTTGACAAAGATTTCAAATTGTTTGTTATCTATAACCTGTATCAGAATGAGTTTCGCAATGGTGCGCCCAAAGGCATGGGTTGAAGACACAGTCAGTGGCGTCACGATATGCAAATTTATTTAAATTCATACCGACGTAATCACCATGACCAAAATTGTCCTTTTTTTTTCCATTGAATTTTGAAAAGAAAAAAATATAGACCTACCTACCGACCCTTTTTTTTTTTTTTTTTTGCTGTTACTGCAAACCAAAATATTTTTAAGGATGGCCTTAGAACAAAATAATTAACATCTAATATTGTTGCTACTTAGATATTAAAGCTAAAAACAGTGAAATATGCTGAACAGAGTGTGTGAAGAAGAATATATATTTCATCTTCTGTGGTTTAATAATAATCAGGCTAGGACATGTTACAAGTATGCAACACTACCACTCATATACTCATAAAACACATATAATTCTGGCTGTGCTAAAACTGGCACTTCCTCCACAGCATGTGCCATGATGATGAAGATGATGATGAAGATCACCTTGAAGTGATTGGAGTCTTTCCCTCCGCCCTCTCCCTCCGACTCGGACGCGGCCCTGAACTGAAGCGTGCCGGTGTTGATGTAGAAACCGCCGAGTTTAGTGCTCAGGGACGCAGGAACGAGTTCGTCGTACTGCAAAGACACAACAGACATCATGTATACGGTTTTCCTGCGGGTCATTAATGCTGCAGAGTGAAATATAAAGTCCTTACATCCATTCAGAAAAACTCTTTCATATGCATTTTGATAAGGATGATGAGTCGGAAGGGGATTTCAAAGTAGATTGAGATAACGTGTAATAGTGTGGTCAAACACAATGCGCTGGTTCTGAATTCACTCGAATACCCCATCATGTGATGGAACGGTAACTGGGAGCATTTCGGGAGATAATCAGTGGTGGACTTCTGGGTGAAGCTCTCTCTGATACTCACAGCCTCGGAGTTGTCGATAAACGGATCGGTTTCATCATAGCCGTAACCGATATCGATGAGATCCTGCATCCGGTCTCGTCGCTTCTTCTTAACAACAGTGTTTCCCTGAGATGATAATACACTCTATTCATTTGACGTGTCGTGATTAAGATTAAATGTTTTCTGTGTAAACACACACACATACGCGCGCACACACACACATGTTGGTTGCTGGTGGATGTGTGCATTCGTCAGGAAAAGAATACATACATATTTGCTCTCAAACTTCCTGGCGAGTGCCTCGACTTCTTGCCGTTCCTTGTCTTCGTCTGCGAACGGGTCGCTGGGATCCAGAGTAGGTTTGAGACCTTGAGGAACTTTCCTTACCTTGACAAGAAAATGAAACCGGTCAGACACAACCAATCGACTCATTGACATGCAAACAGACACCAATCATACCGATAACTCTTTATATTTGAAAGATGATAACCGATATATTGGCCGATAAATCTAAATTTGTATGTCATTTTTGAGAGCCTGCTCACAAAATCAAAAGTCTCATCATTAACAGCCATGTACCAAACCCACAATTATAATGTTCATATTATTATTTTATGTAGCCGATATGACACTGTATTTTCCTTTTGAAGTGATTTCAATCATATTTCATTTTCAAGGAATTCAAAAGCATCATGTTGAACAGTGCGCATCTGAAGTGTCTCAGCTGAAGCAAATAATACATTATTTATCGGCTTTAATATATTGGCCAATTTTTCTTATCGGGCCGATAACATTTAAACATAACTGATACCGATATGGTGGCCGATATATTGTGCATCCCAATACAACTGTACAAATTATACATTTTAATAATCAGCTGCGATATACCCATGTGCAGTATTTGTATAGATTTTGCAGTGTACTTACTAGTGACGTTAAAGGAAAAACAACACCAGATCTGTCAAGCTAATGTCAATTACGAAATATCACCCAAACCAATACATAAACGTTTACATATTGCTAAATAACTGATGATTTTTATACAAAAAATGAGAGCTCGTAAAAAAAGGTATGATGCAACTGGGGATCAAACCTACAGCCTTTACCAACTAATATATATAAAAGGGATAGTTCACCCAAATATGAAAATTCTGTCATTAATTTCTCCACCTCATGTCGTTCTTTACCCGTAACTTTCGTCCATCTTCGGAACAAATATTAGGCTAAGATTTGTTTTTGATGAAATCTGAGAGCTTTCTGTCCCTCCATTGACCGTCTACACACCTACCACTTTTAAGCCCCGGAAAAGACATCATAAAAGTTCATAAAAACATAATGTACCACTTTATTTACAAAATATGAATCTTCAACGCGCATGACATAAGGGCACCATGACGCATGCGTGTTGGGTTGTTGTTACGTGAATGTGCGTTGGAGAGTAATATTTTGTTGATAAAGTGGTAAATTATGTTTTTATGCACTTTTATTATGTCTTTACTACTCATAAATTCATAAAACTTAGGTTAAACCATTGGAGTCACAGATTACTTCAATGACGTTTTTACTAGCTTTCTGGGGCTCGAAAGTGGTAACGTTAGTTGCGTAGAGTGTCAATGGAGGGACAGAAAGCTCTCAGATTTCATTAAAAAGAAAACTAAACCACCCATCATTAATCTCAGTCCGGCTACTGATGTAGTTACTGTTACACTGAATTAACGATCCCTATTTTTACATTTGACAGGTTGACAGAAACTTGGCTTGAACCTAGAACCTGTCAGTTCAGATATTTAATAACCACTAAAGTTAAACCACACACTAGTCACTTATGTGCTGCTGTGGTCAAAACAAAAAGTAACTCTAAAGTGTCTAACGATGTATTTACTACAGGTTCGGTTCCCCTGCTCGAGTCTGGGCTTTAACCCGCACCCGTTCCCCGCGGACCTCACCTGCAGGCTCGAGTGGACCAGCTCGCCGTAGTTGAACTCCGCTGACTTCTGTTCACTCGGTTCTGACAGGCTCAGGTTCAGGCGGACGGTACGTTTGGGTTCTCCGGGTTCCGTTGCCGGTTTCCCGGCACCGAACACCCCCGGGGCGGTGACACCGGGACTCGGTTCATTCTCTTCGTCCTCCCGTCGGCGTTTCTTTGACTCGGTTGCCACCGGTGTGGTGCTGAACGAGGCGAGGGTAACGAACGGCACTTTTCTCGGGTCAGCCATTGGACTCTCCGGTTCTGCTCGAGCCCGAACACACACGCGCGTGCACGCGCGCGCTCCTGACTGTTAGCTTGAGCTAAGATTAGCGCTCACACTATTAAACAACAGTTTAATGCTGACACGAAACGAAATGATGTCCGTTTTAAATTATATAATATTTCCTCGCAGCATTCGAGTCGAATCCGTTTCATTTAGTCGATTGTAAAAGTAGTTTTTGTTTCTCTCTGTGAAATCTCGGCAGCATATGTAGCGGCCATTTTCAGTAGCAGTAAATACAGGATGAGGCAGCGGGGTCAGTGATCATGCGCAATGCGCGAGGCGCTGGAACAGGACCAATCAGAAGTCTCACCGCACTCTAAGACCCGCCCACTTCCAAGACTCCAGCGGGAGAGGGTGGAGCCGCTTCCGTGCGCGCTGACCGCGGGAGATTCAGAACCGCACAAGTAGAGTGATTCATCCCAGAGAATCGAATCTTTTGCAGGAAGAGGTTTATAAAATGACTCGTTTGCAGGACAGGCTCACAAAATGACTTTGTAATGAATATGTAAAAATCCTGTAAGTTACACAATTGCACCAGATGGCGACAATGACTTTTGAATATTATGAGTAAGTATAAGCTAAAACCAGCTGAACACCAGTTAATTTTAACCTATAAGAACCCGGACCAATTTCCCCTTATATGAAAATTATGGGGCATATAAAACAGACTAATTGGACCACTTAAAACATGTTTCTGCCGTTGTTTTTTAAAAACAACCACTCCTTGTCAAAGATCTGTAATGTGACATATATGTCACATTGGGCGTTTATGGTGCATTTTTAATGTGACATATATGTCACATTGGGCTTTTATGATGCATTTGGAAAAAAAATAATTTGGTCAGTTTTCTTGCTAAATAACATTTTTTTTCTGTTTATTTTCTTTTCCACAACATTTTCTAAATTATTACTTTTCTGTGAAGATAAATAATAAAAAAAAATTTTCAGAAGTAATAGTTTTTGCATTTTATTTGCTTTGCCACATATTTCAAAACCACACAACTGTGACCATTACATTTTACAACAACTGTTTTGTAACTTCAAAAGTTAACCTTCTCAGTTATACGGTTTAATCATAAATACATTTTTAGATTATTTTTTCACAACTCGAAAATGTGCAAAATGAATAAAAATAAATAACTACCTCACACCGGAGGTCAACATGTTGAACATGCATGTAGTGCAATAACATTGCAAAATTCTACCTTTTCAGGTATACGGTTTAACCAGAAATACATTTTTTTATTATTTTTTCACAACGCGAAAATGTGCAAACTGAATAACAATAAATATGGTGTTTTGTACCATATGTTGCATAGCTGTTTTAGTTACAGGTATGCAACATATTTTCAAAATACATTTCATAAAAGGGTAAACCCTAAACCAACTTTCTTTAGTTAATGATCTGTAAGACTGGGGCTTTATTATTGCTGTTCATTGATTCAAGTCATTTTTTAGACATTTGGGTATAAAGTGTTTTAATTCTACAATATATGGTGTAAAAACATCTGAGTGCTGTCCTCTTCAGGTTGAACGGTGGCTACTGCAGTTGAATTTTCAATTTGTGGTGCCCTGTGAGGTAAGCAGGCACCAGCTAACCACACCCATGCCTACAGAGAGATGCGTCTCAGGTGCACGCCTCTCCGTCCGCTGGGCTCTGCCCACTTTTACAGCATTTTTCAAATATTGCCAGTGGGTGGAGTCAGGCTCTGATCAGGGGCTTAGTTACCCTTTAACAATGTTATTAATTTGACATTTTTTTGTTTAAAATATGCTTTGAATTGAGCAGCAGAATATATATAATACTAAAATAATTGAATCAGCTAAATTATTTGAGCAGTTCATTAGCATTTTTCTTAATGTGACACATACGTCACATCAAAATTCCACCTACTGTTTTACTGTTAAAAGCCCGATGTGACACATATGTCACAACAACATTTGCAAAACTTGTTTTATATCAATTTGTACAAGAAACGTTTTAAAATCAAGTCAAGTGTAATCTAGGATATGTTATTAAAACATTAGAATTGTTGCATGGGTTGAAACATACCTTTAGTAACAAAAATAAGCATCTTTAAAAAGTGCTGACACTGCAACATGTGCACACAAGACAGACCACCATTTTGGAAATGTTACCATGGCAACAAAAATGCACACATTGTCACATGACTGAACCTGGATGTTCCTTATATGTCCCTTAGGGACTTCCTGGGTTGAAAGTGAGGTATAATCGTTTAAAAAAACCTTTTCCAATGATCATTAGTGTTTGTGACACCCACGTCACATCGGGTTCTTAAGGGTTAAATCTTATATCTGTTATTTAACAATTGAGATAGTTATTTAATGGTGATATAACCAGCATAAGACATTTTACTGGGTTTAAACACCAGTTGTGCAGGTGAGGCACGTTGTAACAAGGAGTTTAGGGTTAGGGTTAGGGTTAGGGTTAAACTAAGCCCCCATTATAACTATTATAATTCTATTCTATAATTTTATGAATTCTATTGAGAATACATGAGAAAAAAGTGAATACAGACTTGAGAGTCAATGTTCAGAAATGATTCATTGTTATTATGGTTTGAACTACGCTATCTATGTGTTTTGCAGTGTGTTTGTTGTCAAACTCAAAAATTTGTTTATTTTTAATTATTAAAAAATGCCATTATTTTATATGAAAAACGTATTAATTCTATATTAGTGAGAAAATATTTTAGTTTGTCTTATATTTTTTTTTTTATTAGATCAGATAATATTTTAAGCTGTTATATGGTCATGTTACAATGAACCCCACCCATAGGGGCATGTTGTCACATTTCACTTCCATTCTTTCAGGGTAAATCAAGAAAAAAAAGTATACATTTACATTTAATAATTTAGCAGACACTTTTATCCAAAGCGACTTACAAATGAGGAGAACAATAGTTAAACTAGCAATAGGACAAAAATATGTGAGTTGAGTTGAATTGAGTTGAGTTGAGTTGGTGGATCAAGTGTTGCTGAAAAAGATGCGTCTTCAACCGTTTCTTGAAAATGGCCACAGACTCGGCAGCTCTGGTTTAGTTGGGTAGGTCGTTCCACCAGCAGGGAAACAGACATGGTAAAGGTCCAAGAAAGAGATTTTCTGCCTCTTTGAGATGCACCACAAGACGACGTTCACTTGCAGAGCGCAAGTTTCTTGATGGCACATAAGTCTGAGTTTAGGTAAAAGGGAGCAGAGCCAGTGTTGTTCTGTAGGCAAACGTCAGTGACTTGACTTTGACTTCATACTAGACATGTAATTAATGTGGGGAAAAAAAAATAACAGACTACTCTGAACACTGTAGGTTTACACAAATTGAGAAAGTCAAAAAGCGTTAGGTGTAAGATTGTAAATGTAAGATTTATATATTTGAATTGCATATAAAATTTCCATCCATTTGGATCACATCATTTGAACATAAACAAATTAATAAACTGAATGTGATTCATAAATGAAACGGGTAAGATTAATAACTAAATTTCATGTGTTTTAAATACACAATAACCAGGTGTATATTTATCATCATTAAATCCAGTTTTGGAGAGGGATTTTACCCCGGATTTTACCCGAATCCAGTTTTTACCCAGGGCCCGAGGCCCCTGCCTCTCGGCCCTGGGTACTCGGTACTCTTTTCCCCCCCGCTACCACGCCCCTGTCTATATGTATATATATTCGTTCACTTGCGCTTGCGCTCTGCAAGTGAACATCGTCTTGTGGTGCATCTCAAAGAGGCAGAAAATCTCTTTCTTGGACCTTTACCATGTCTGTTTCCCTGCTGGTGGAACGACCTACCCAACTTAACCAGAGCTGCCAAGTCTGTGGCCATTTTCAAGAAACGGTTGAAGACGCATCTTTTTCAGCAATATATATATATATATATATATATATATATATAGTACCATTGAAGCAGTGTTGAAGTTAATGAGATAATTCAGTGATTGAGCATTAGTGATGAACACCCGCTGTTAACAAGAAGAATCACTGAAGGAAAGAGAAACAAGAAGAGAAAAAAGAGAAACACAAGAACATAAACTACAACTGGTTTCCAGCCAAAGCTTTAGATGAAATCAACTGAAGATAAAAGAAGACATGAAGGCCCGGTTTACGCCTGGTATTAAAAACTGTTTAGGTCGATCAGATCACAATGCCAATACATGCAAACGGGGTCTAAAATGTGTTGAGCTTGTCCACTATCCATCACTTCCAGAGGGAGTTGAAAACACATTTGCTTTCATAGTGTAAACGCTCATGTGATCGAATGTGTTTGAACAGCCACAAAATACCATGTCTCTGCTTACTGACCTAATGCGTAATCCGACAGGATTTAAACTGTCGGCTGAAGACCCAAGTTTGGTTTGAGGATGAAAAATATATTAATGTATTAATCACAATGTTCCCTCACCATTCCTGATTGCTAACACACACACTCACAGCGTTCGGCTGGTCTTGCGGCTTTCAGAGCAGAAACTAAAGCTGCTGCTCTCCGTGTTTTTCTGTCGTCTCCGGGCACGCGTTCATGTGTAAATTTCACAAGCATATTTTGTCCATTATCAAAAGATCTGGAAAAAAAAACCCATACATTTAGCCACCCATAGACCCTCCTCTCGAAGAAATCAGGTCAGAAGTGGTTGAAAGTGGACAAAAGAGACACCAAATTTATTAAATATTAATTTGGTTATTTGATATGTCCTTTTGGAGTCTTCAAGTGTGCCTTCTTTGGTAAAGACTAGCAGGAAATACAGTTTTGAGTGGATAATTACCCAGCCAGCACAGCCATGTGGGGCCCACATGGGTTAGACCTGGGCTATCTAACTGGGACCGAGACAGTTTTGCTCCCGGTTTCCATGTAGGCCCCACATGGGTTTGCCCAGATGAAATGAATACTGCTCAGTGTGCACACTATAGGCTGTTAAATGTAACACTGACCAGTGTTGGAGTTAATGAGATAATTAAGTGATTGAATAATGATTGAGCATTATTGAAGACACCTGATGTTAACAAGCAGAATCACTGAAGGAGAAAATCACAAATTGTAAGCCACCGGTATGGCGATCAGCGTTTGCTTTAGTTGGACTCTTGACCCTTAGACTGTCACTTTAAATTTTGTTTGTCTGCTGTTATTGATTTATAACAGTCAAATGAACAAAGAAAAGTGTGATCTTATAGTGTTGGTTATGTTTAGGCATAATCATGCTGTGATCTGATAAATGAAACTTATTGAGATGGTTCAACTTCTGGTTCAACTTGTTAGCAACAGCTTTGTGATTCCACAGCATATGATTATCAGTATTTTTTTTAATCCAAAATATTTAATAAACATTGTTCTGATCAAAACACTTTCAAATGAATTTATTAAGAAACACAGACATCAAGATTCAGTCTGTGAATCTCAACAATGGTGACAATAATAATGCATGTTGCAGTGGCTGCCACCAATCACAACTCATTACTGGCTCCCATCATGCATTGCGGTATGAATAAATTATGATCTGAATTGTCTATGTAATTTACTTTTCCTAATTGAATATTCTGCTCGTCACCATTATTGAGATGCATTGACTGAATCTTGACGTCTGGGTGTGCCTAAAAGAAAGATTTTTTTTTGAAAACAACTTTTAAGAAATCCTTTATATTATATCTAAAATTCTGGATATTTATGCAGAATCACAGTTATGCTGTAACCAACAGCATAAATCACTAAACATAAGGTTAAAATGATGACATAAATTTCATAATATAACCAACACCATTACATAACTTTTTTTTTTTTTTTTTTTTTTTTTTTTTTTTTTGTTCTTCTGGCAGTTATAAGTCAGAAACAACAGCCAAACAAAATCTAAAGTTAATAACATAAGGGTCAAGAGCCCAACTAAAGCAAACAATGATCGCCATAACGGTGGCTTACAATTTTCTCCTTCAGTGATTCTGCTTTAGGTGTCTTCAATAATCTTCAATCATATTCAATCACTTAATTATCTCATTAACTCCAACACTGATCAGTGTTACATTTAACAGCCTGTAGTGTGCACACTGAGCAGTGTTCATTTCATCTGGGCAAACCCATGTGGGGCCTACATGGAAACCGGGAGCAAAACTGGCTGGGTCCCAGTTAGATAGCCCACGTCAAACCCATGTGGGCCCCACATGGCTGTGCTGGCTGGGAACCCTTCAATCTGATGATTTATTTAAATTATATATTTATTAATTCATCCATTAGCAGAATCAGATAGAGCAGTGGTTTTCTGTTTCTGATACAACCAGTTTAACTGGTAAAATCCTTATACAGTTCATTTCATCAAGATTAAAGAAGAACAGATAAACTGTGTCAGTGAAGGTGGTTGTGAATGTGTGTACATGTGTGTTAGTTACAGGATCAGAGAATGACACCGTTCCTCTGTCATAGTCCAGATCAACTCTCACACGCTCAAGATACTGTTCTACATGAAAACCAAACCGCTCACACAGTCCAATCTCATCATACTCCACACTCCAGACATCAGTGTTGAAGAAAACACCTCCCTTCCTCTGGTTTGATGCTGTAGTTACTCCAAGACTCCAGCATTGACTATCTTTAACCTCCACATCCCAGCAGTGTGTTCCTCTGCTTTTAAACGAACAAAAATATTTTTATTCTAGCTTCATGCATTCTTCTTTAAGCAACACTTGAATGTGGGTAAGTTTCATAAAAAAAAGCAACATTGAGCAAAAAAGCTGAGAAAATCCTGTTTTTGTCAAATATGTCTAGATCAGAATCAGAACGATGATCAAAACACAGATGGAGTAGATTGAGTCCATCAACACCCCTAAAGCTTCACAGTCCTATACCGTCCTGGGTCGATGTTACCGCTACAGCTACCGCAATGTCTTACCTGGAGATTCAACCACCAGATAACAAAATATGTCTGGAAACGAGCTCCGGCCATTTGGTTGGGTCATTGACCCAGTTTTTAATTAAATAAGGGCAATCATAACCCATTGCAGTTAATTTTGCAATGTACCGTTGCCGGTCGGCAGGCGTCAATGACGACATTTTTGTCATTCAAATACACACAATGTTCACGATGTTCGCTGTGTTCCCCCCGCGGTGTTTTGACAACTTCATTAAGTTTTGTTTTGTAGAAAGCCTTTCTTTAAAGTGAATTTCGTTTTGTAAATTTTAATAAATTTTTCATCAACCAATTGCCTGGATATAATAAATAAGAGGCAAATATAGCAGACAATATAATCATGACATGGAGGCTCTGGCGCGATTGCATTGCACGTGAACCAGAGCACATCTCATTATAAATTAACCGAAACTCAGCTTATGACTCTCAGACATGAGGAACTATAGAAAGCTTGAAATGTCGCAACAATTCAAAACGAAAAGAAATAGCTACTCTCTACTCTACGCCTACTCTCTGATTATGTAATCCATTAGGCCTATGTATATTTTTTCTTTATAGGTGCGTTTACTACGGAGATGGCGATCGTCAACTTCATCTTTGCAACCAAGACTGACGCAGAAAACACTAGTTTATTAAAAAAAAAATCAATGCACGCCTCACCGGATTTACAAATCCACATCTTGATTGTTCCACGCACACACAGCCTATTATGTTGAAATAATGAGATATTAGGCCTATGTTGAAAAAAACATTATAAATAAAAATAATAAATCCTTAAGAATAGGCTATTTGATTGAATGCTGAATGTTGTGCTTGTTCAATTTAATACAATTAAACTTTAATTGTGATAATTAAAATAATTGAATATTGAATGGCCAATTTTTGCTCATTTAAATAAAAGTGTATATATATATATATATATAAAATTGCGCAGCTCTCCCTGTCAATGATCTAGCACCCCCTCAGCACCTGCGTTAAAAATTCTCTGGCGCCGCCCGTTTTTTACATATGCATACATATGTTTTTGTTCATTGGTTGATTGTTTGAAGGTTCACAGGTGTCCCTTGTCTTGTCATTAGTCCTGTGTGTATTTAAGCCCTGTGTTTCAGTCTGTTCCTTGTCTTTCGTTTAAGTTACTACATGTGTGGTTGTTCCGTTCACGAGTCTTGAGTTTGTTTTGTAGTTTTGAGTTCATTTATTAAAGTAATACTGGACTTGGATCCTGCCTTCGTCTCTGCTTCAACTGCGTTGTAACACTATCACTTGTTTCTGCCGTCTTCTACTACTGTGTTTTGATCAGATGATTCAATACTCGTTCAGAATATGTGTAATAGCGCCCCCTCCCGTATAACAGTGAAAACATGGAAAGCTGGAAAATTCGAGTAGTATGAAGCTGCAGACTCGGAGACCTGCATCTACAGTCCCCCTGCACCCAGAGTCCCGCATTCTCAGACCCCTCGTTTTTCGAGACAGCGCCTCCTATCAAATTGTATCGGATAAACATGTGAAGAACTTAAGCCAAAACGTGAGTAGGCTATCTTCAATTTTATTTAGCGAATCGTAGTAGCCTACTCTTTTGATTTATTTTTTAATAAAACTAATTTAGCTCATCGATACAACATATGAATAGTCTATTTAATATTTGTAAAGATAGTTTGTAACAAGATTTGAGCCGTTAATGTATGTTTTTTCGCCCTCTTCCCCCCGAAAATATTTTGATAGCTAACGTTAGCCTTTAACCTTGGACTTTTTGTAGATATGTCATAAATGCTGCAGTGATTTTCACTGCCCATTTTGTGCCCCCATATATTTCAAACCCACAAAGTTGTCCAAAGTTCAAAAACATCTCAAGGGACACTTCAACAGAGCAGTGCAACATGAAGGTAACATTTGCAAACATCTTTTTTCTTTTTTTTTCTTTCTTTTTGAAACATCATAAGACATGTGCTATCGGGCCTATACTGTTGTAGGCTATTCCAGGGTACATACATCGATGGAGTCGCCCCTGCCGAACCCAGCAACATATCATTTAATGATTATGCAAAGCGACTTATAAATTAGTTTTTTTTAATGGAATTGAAGACGAAAAGTAAAGTCACGAACACAGTTTTTTCTTCATTTTTTCTTTACAGCAAGATGATGTTTAGGTGATCATTAAATAAAGTACAGAATTGTTTATTATTGGTGTTTTGTCTATTCTGATTTGTTTTGCTTCGCATTCAAAATATCAAAAAACAGATTTTGTAATGTTAGCATGGTAATGTTAATTAGACCATTATAAAAATTGGAATTTGAATAAAAAAAAAAATAATAAAAAAACATTGTAGCAATATAATATCACATACTATTTTTCAGAAGATAGTTCAATCTGTAATTGTATCCCTTCCATCGCAATGATTTTTTTTTTGGCACATGCATTAAGCAGGATCATTTATTTGGAGACCGTAATATTGCATCCTATTGTTTTTAATTGCATTTGGATAAGCGTGCGCTGTACTCTGTGTGCAGGAGGCGCTGTGTTCGAAAAACGAGGGGTCTGAGAATGCGGGACTCTCGGTGGGGGACTGTAGATGCAGGCTCCGAGTCTGCAGCTTCATAATATTGGAAAATTCCGTGTTTGGTGGGGAAGAGCTAATACACTTTGAACTTTTTCACACAAAAGTAAAAATTAAAGATATATTTTTGATAGACCCTTTTTTGGTTCTGAATATTTTTTTTCAGTGAGCGGACGACTTCAGCTTTGTTTACAATAACTTCCATGCACCTGAGAATACGTTTTTTTTTTTTTTTTTGAGCACATACAACTTCTTTTGAATTTCTAGTGCGTGTGTGTGTGTGTGTAAGAGCACAGATCTTCAGCAGACTCACTGTTTTGGACGATGTCCTGCATCTTCTTCCAGACTCCGAACGGCAGGTTGCCCAAGTATCGTGACACATGAATCAAAGCTCCAGAAGCCATCTGTGGATCCGGCTGTGAGATCTGGACTCTGGAGGAACATTCAGGAGTCAGAACTGCAGTGGATCAGAACCAGAGAGACCAGAGACACCAGCAGATCACTCACCTTTCCATTGAGACTGGAAACTCCTGCAGAACAAACACACCATTTATCATCAAGAACTCAATCAATCAATCAATCAATCAATCAATCAATCAATGATGTGAAATCAGACCTTAAGAAAGCAGACGTCATTGGCTTTCATCATCTCCTCCATGTCTTTGATTGTGTGTGAAAGATCTGAGATGTGTGTGTTCATCTCCTCCAGCTTTTCCTTCATCATCTGCTTCTTCTGCTCCTCTTCCTCCTTCAGTGCAGTGATTGTAGCTTCTTCTTCATCTCTGAAACTGATGAAGCTTCTCAAACTGCTGTTTAATCTGACGCTCCGTGTGCTCAGCTTGAGACTGAAATCACATCACAAGTACTAGTAATGTTGTAGATGCTCTGTCTTTTGGATAAAACTATCATTATACTATTATTATCAGTGTTGAAAATAGTTATTTACATTTATGTTTTAGGATTGTTTGATAAATGGAAAGTTCAAAAGAACAGCATTTATCTGAAATAGAAATCTTTTGTAACATTAAACCGTTCAAAAGTTTGGGGTCAGTAATAATTTTTATTTTATTTTTTGGGGGAAATAAATAAAATAAATATATACTTTTATTAATCAAGAAAGAAATGAATTGATCAAAAGTTACAGTAAATATATTTATAATGTTACAAAAGATTATTATTTAAAAAAAATGCTGTTATTTTGAACTTTCCATTCATCAAAGAATAGACTGGAGTAATGATGCTAAAAATTCAGCTTTGATCACAGGAATGCATTACATTTTAAAATATACACTACCGTTCAAAAGTTTGGGGTCAGTGAGAATTTTATTTTTATTTTTTGGAGGAAAGAAATCAATACTTTTATTTATCAAGGAATAATTAATTTGATCGAAAGTGACAGTAAAGACATTTATAATGTTACAAAAGTCTTTTGAACTTCCTATTCATCAAAGAATCCTAAAAAAAAAAAAAAAAAAACTGTACAACTGACAGACCAACAACTGTTTCAACATTGATAATAATAATAAATGTTTCTTGAGCATCAACTCCATATTATACTGATTTGTGAAGGATCATTTGACACTGAAGACACTGACACTGGTGATGCTGAAAATTCAGCTTTGATCACAGGAATAAATTACACTTTACTATATATTCACACAGAAAACAGCTGATTTACACTGGAATAATATTTAATACTATAACTGATTTTTGTTGTATTTTTAATCAAATAAGCGCAGCCATGGTTAGCAGAAGAGAATTCTTTTAAAAGTATTTAAAATCGTACCGACCCCAAACTTTTGAACGGTAGTGTATTTAAATAGAAAACAGGTTATTTTAAATGGTCATAATAACTAACAATATTAATGTTTTTTTGTTGTTGTTGTATTTTTAATCAATCTTAATTTTTGAATGGCAGTGCATATATACATATAAATACATTTAGACCACTTAACTTCGTGATTGCTATCAGGATGTGAAGAGACTTTTAACCAGCATATCAAAAAATGTTTATGGAAATCACCCTACCTTTAATTTGATCCTGTGTTTATGATCATTACAATAAATGGTTTTTAATTTGCATAACAGTAGATGCGTTTCCATTACCCTTAAAATTGCGCAAATTGAAAATATGCCCACAGTGGAAATACCTCAATTTCGCAAATATATCGCAAAAATGTTTTTACGTTTGCATCAGGTGGTTTTTCAGGCAATTTGAAAACTTTGATCAGTGTTCCGTTTGCTTGGGATCTTGGACCTTCTATATTCATTATGATCTAGCCATATCAGAACTGTGATAAATGAAAACATTTGTTAAACCGATGGCAAGCTAGAATATAAGATAATTGGCTAATTTTAAGTTAGTCAAACTATACTATCGTTAGTGTTATTTAAGCATAAGTATTTATCTTCGTTAAAATTCATAATTATTTGCAGATGGATATTTCACAATAGTAAAGCAGCTGCTGAGATTTATCTTTGAATTATGTAACATCATCTTGTAAACATCACCTAATGATGCTCAGACATCAATACTCAACATATACAAAACACAACAATGGTGACACTCAAACTCTGAACATTATAATAAACAAACAACACAAACTGCTAAAGTGAAACAAAAATAAGTTCAGCAACACAGATAAAACCAACAAGAATCAAGAAACTCCACAGCTTAATCTATTCATGCCGCACTGCATGCTGGGTACCTTCATAGTACATATGCGCAGTACTGTAGAAATACAATATGATAGGAACCGGCTTTACTGACAAGATGCGCATAACAATATCGTGCGATATATCGCCCAGCCCTAAACACAATGTCCTTATTCACTATGTGTGTGTGTGTGGAGAGAGAGAGAGTAGGCCTACATTAGATCTTATTAAATCATATGCTCATTTGATATTTTATTGTCACACTTTAACCTCCTGAGACGGTCAGGGGATCTCTGGATAATCCGTAATTCGTTTGTAATTATAAAACGAAAATACCGTTTTTCTGTTTTTTGTTTCAAAACGAGAAACCAAATAACCGTTTTTGGTGTCAAAATCAAAAAACGAAAAACCAATTAAAAACGGTCCGTTTTTCGTTTTTGGCGATCATTTTTATCGTTATTCCTTTTTGAACAAACAATGAAGAGAGTCTTTGAACTTCCGTCTAGTCGTTTTTCGTTTATAAACAAAAAAACGGAAGTCACGTGGTCTATTCCTTATTTGGAAGCGAAAGTAACCGGTAACACTTTCAAAATAAAAGTAACTATAGTTAGCGAGGTGATTGTAGACTAAAACTGAACTAATATAACATTTTTTAGTACAACTAAAGTAGCACTGGTTGTGAAAAAAAACACTTTAGTTAACTGAAATAAAAATTAAAACTAATAAAATAATAACTCTTAATAAAATTAAACATTTGTAAGACCATTGGTGACCTCTGTAACTTCAGATTAAGACAAGTGAACTTATTTTATATGTAGCTTAGGATAGCAGGTAGCCTATTTATTTATAAGTTTCTATTATTTAATTCACATTTTAGTTTTGTAACATATTTATGACATCAAGCAACAAAGGTTTGACCTTTTGACCTTTTCACCTGCCTTCCAGCTCCTATTTCTATGGCACTATATCTGCTAAACACTCTCAGCTTCCACCATCTACTGTTACCCCTTCTGTGTCAAAACAAAACTCTTCCAAAACAAATCTATAAAGTTGTATACTTTTTATTTTCCTTTGCATTTTTCTCCAGTGTAATATACTTATTATGTTAGTTAAGTAGATTAAATATTTGTTATGCAGCTTGTAGTTCTCATTAGTTATGTAGACCTACTTGTGTGTGAAACCTAGCATTACTCAGTCAAAAATGATCTCTAGCTCTGGGACTTTCAGATCTTTTAATGCTTTTTTGGGTTTAATTCTGTTTGATGAACCACCAGGGAAAGGCAGTGCTCTGTACTCTTGGTACTTGTGTAAAGTAAAATAAAAGTGAAGTTAAATCATTTAGTTTTTCTCCCTGGTACTCATGTCAGGGCCTCCCAGATTTCCCCAATACCTGGAGGATGTGAGCCTGTGCACTGTGTGCAGGGTTTAAGGACTGATGATAGTAGCAAGACTGGCCCCAGTCACCTACCATCACTCTCTCTTCAAATAAATGCTGGACTGGCAGGACAAAGCAGTACACCACTCCTTCCTCCGGCACCATAAAAGGGCCTTGTTGTCACTTTCAGATATTTACATCATGTTTTATGGTAAGCCACATCTTTGAATTGTGGCACTACTTTTGTGGAATTGGATATTGAAATAAGTGTATACTAAGACTAATTGTGACTTTGGTGCTACAAGTGCGGCAGCAGTGTCACTAGTAATGCTTCTGTTGGAAATAGTGGGACAAAAGTGCCACTAAATGGAGTGTAATGGAAACTGTTAAAAAGAGTGACCAGGCCACAAATTAGTGGTTGATTTTCCTTTATCACCAGCCCAACAAACAATACTACTATTATGTTTATGGTTAAAATTGAACATTCACCCAAACAAATTTAATTTTTTTTTAGTTGTCACAGGTAGAACTATTCTTTATGCTTTTCATTAAGTTATTTATTTGAATGTATTGTTGTTATTCTTGTTCTCATGGCTGTGCTGTGTTTATTTAATTTGCTTGACTGTTTCTTCTTTTGATTCTCCCTCAGTTGTTTTCTTATGTTAGCTGTTTATTGCTGTTATTTGGCTGGTTGTCTGGTTTCACACACAAGTAGGTCTATATAACTAATGAGAAATACAAGCTGCATAAAAAATATTTAATCTACTTAACTAACATAATAAGTAGGCTATATTACACTGGAGAAAAATGCAAAGGAAAATAAAAAGTATACAACTTTATAGATTTGTTTTGGAAGAGTTTTGTTTTGACACAGAAGGGGTAACAGTAGATGGTGGAAGCTGAGAGTGTTTAGCAGATATAGTGCCATAGAAAGAGGAGCTGGGAGGCAGGTGAAGTTCTGCACACCCTTCAAACTCAGTGATTAGCTTCTGTTGGTAGCGGTGCTTGCCTTCTCTTTGATATAAACACAAGTCAAAAGGTCAAACCCTTGTTGCCTGTTGTCCCACAGAAAGAGTCGGTGCACAGAAGGGGTTAGAAAGACCTCTGCTGGTTGAGCTTCCACATAGCAATAAGGGCTATAAATATGTTACAAAACTAAAATGTGAATTAAATAATAGAAACTTATAAATAAATAGGCTACCTGCTATCCTAAGCTACATATAAAATGAGTTCACTAGTCTTAATCTGAAGTTACAGGTTACCAATGGTCTTACAAATGTTTAATTCTCCCTAACAGCCAGAGTTATTATTTTATTATTTTAAATTTTTATTTCAGTTAACTAAAGTGTTTTTTTCACACCCAGTGCTACTTTAGTTGTACTAAAAAACGTTATATTAGTTCAGTTTTAGTCTACAATCACATCGCTAACTATAGTTAGCCAACTTTTATTTTGAAAGTGTTTCCGGTTACTTTCGCTTCCAAAAAAGGAATAGACCACGTGACTTCCGTTTTTGGTTTATAAACGAAAAACGAATAGACTGAAGTTTAAAGACTCTCTTCATTCTTTGTTCAAAAAGGAATAACGATAAAATGATCACCAAAAAACGAAAAACGGGCCGTTTTTAATTGGTTTTTCGTTTTTTGATTCTGACACCAAAAACGGTTATTTGGTTTTTCGTTTTGAAACAAAAAACAGAAAAACGGTATTTTCGTTTTATAATTACAAACGAATTACGGATTATCCAGAGATCCCCTGACCGTCCTGCCATATGTTTATTCCACCCATGAACTCAGTCAGCTGATTTCACTAATTAGTTTTATCTCCTGTCTGAATTAGCAAATCCAAGTGATTGGAACTAATACTGAGGAGGACTTTTACTTTGTGAACCTGGACTTTACATATCTGCATAGCAATGCCACATGTCAGCCAAGAGCAAAGAAATAAACCAGAACTTTACCTTATCGTTGCCAACAAAATCTATTTATATTAAATATGGAGTAATTTCAGCCTTAGATGAAATCAACTGAAGATAAAAGAATACATTAAATCTGTGAAGATCTCAGCAGAGGAGGATTAAACAACTCCACAAACAGCATTACCAGCTTCACTTATTACTAACCAGACTGACTTTATTTCTGTCAGACGTCTACAGAAGTTCTTATTGAGAATTAACAGAGGTTTAACTCCGTTTCATTTGAAGTCACCATAACAGTGATTAGTGTTTCCATTAGTTGGACTCTCAACTCTTATTTAATAATTTGTCTTTTTGGCTGTTGTGACAGTGTGTTTGTCAAACACATTTGGAACAGCAAAGAAAGTTAAAGTGAAACAAGATCAGGTGATGATGGTTACCTGTTGATGGTTTTATAATCACCATGAAACAGACTTATTCACTGAGGTTTTTATAATCTAACAATTAAGTTGTTCCACTAATATATTCACATCACAAACCCTGTGTTAATGCAGCATGAGATCCAGCAATATAACAATCAGTTTAAGTCTTTTAACAAACATGAAAAAAAATGTGGCCTATGCTGACACACACAGATATCAACAATCAGCACATGAATCTCAACAATGGTGACAATCCCAAATATTTAGATAAACATAAAATATTTAGATTAATTCAGAACATCACTGAAAAGTTACTAATTCACAACAAAACCAACAGCAAAAATTAAAAGCAAATGTTTTGATACAAACAAATTATAGGACAATTCAGCATATTTTATTCATGTTGCAATGTATGCTGGGATTTTTGTACTATGCCGCTACCCAGCATGCATTGCAGCATAGTACTTTTAATTGTCACCATTGTTGAGATTCATATGCTGGTTGTTGATGTCTGTGTGTGTCATCATAAACTGACTTTTCCGTGCTCATGTTTGTTAAAGTCTAACTAACTTATTAACCTGACAAAATAGTTGTTAGAGTAAAATACCTCAGTGAATCAGTCAATTTCATGATGATTATAAAACCATCACCAGGTAACCATCATCACCTGAACTCGTTTCACTTTAGCTTCCTTTGCTGCTGCAAATCTGCTTAACAAACACACTGGCCGTTTCTCAATATGCATTCTTGTCTGTACTTGTGTTCTTGTGGACTTGTGAAACATCATCAGTCACTGCCCAAGTACTGTTCCAATTCAAAGTTCACGTCTAGCCAAGTCCAGTTCAAATCCCCGGATGTGTTCTTGATCCGCCCCGTTTACCGAGGATGCATCGAGAGGTGACTTGTGCGGACTTGAGACAGCCAGGTATCCCAGAATGCATCTCGCACCAACCAGCAAGCGTCAATAGCAGAGGAGAAAACCCGCGTAATATCAAAATACTACTGTTATTGTGTCATGAAATGTAATTTTAAGAGTGTTTCAGGCGAGAATGTGGTTGTTTAAAACTCAAACCTGTGGTTTATTTATAAAGATAGCGCCTATTTGAAAAATGTCTCTGACGTTTTCGGAGTTGTGACATCCAGGCGTTCACCACAGGTGTTCAACCCCGACTGGAACAGCTTTTCCTCGGCTAGTGCTTGACGTTTGCCGCTGGCTCTGATGTCTCTAGTCTAGTGGATAAACATGACGTATAATTCGTCTTGTGTATAAGTTGATATTTGGTCTCATTAAACTATTGTTTGTTCCTTGGCAAAAAATCGTTTTGGCTGAGGGCAAAGTGAAGTTTCATAACTTTATATATTTAGGCTATTTAACTTTAACTTTGTAGCCTATTAGAGAGCTTACTTATGTTTGAATTGTTTGCCTTATTTATCATTGTAGATATTATTGATCATTAAAACTGACATTTAACAAAAAGAGACAGGGTTGTGTAATTTTATTTTATATAAGCTACTTTAAAATATATATATTTTATATTTATTTTAATATTATCTTCACTATATGTACAATAAAATAAAATGACACATCCCTGTCTTTGTTTGTTAAATGTCAATAAAAATAAATAATGTTTCATATTTTTTAAATGAAAACAAAAAGATCATGTTCATGTTGTTATAAATATATGCAGTGAAGATAATACGCGTTGCCTTAACCACATGGTCATTAGGCTACTGTTTAAGATTTTTAAATGAAAAGAGGCAGGGTGGTGTTTTATAACATATTTCGTTTTATTGTTGACGAAAAGAGGCAGAGTTGTAGCATTTCGTTTTATTCTTGCCTAAAATATAGCCTACATAAAGATAACCGGAGTAGCCAGAGCGAGCTGAGTGACGCGATCAAGAACGCACTGTTCCATTTGCAGAATAACCGGACTCGCGTCCTCTCATCCTCGGGAGTTCGTTCTCCTGAGTCGAACTTGGCAAGTCCGAAGTTTGCGTACTTGGTATTGAGAAACGGCCACTGTCACAGCGGCCAAAAAAGATTAAATGTATAATAAAAGTTAAGAGCCCAACTAATGGAAACACTAATCACTGTTATGGTGACTTCAAATGAAACAGAGTTAAACCTCTGTTAATTCTCAATAAAAACTGTCAAAGACGTCTGACAGAAATAAAGTCAGTCTGGTTAGTAATAAGTGAAGCTGGTAATGCTGTTTGTGGAGTTGTTTATTCCTCCTCTGCTGAGATCTTCACAGATTTAATGTCTTCTTTTATCTTCAGTGGATTTCATGTAAGGCTGTGTCTGAAGTCAGTTGTAGTCAGAGATGTAAAGTCCAGGTTCACAAAGTAAAAGTCCTCCTCAGTATTTTTGTTCCAATCACTTGGATTTGCTAATTCAGACAGGAGATAAAACTAATTAGTGAAATCAGCTGACTGAGTTCATGGGTGGAATAAACATATGGCAGGACTTTTACTCTTTGGCCCCAGATTACCCACCTCTGATATAAAACCTAAAGTAATATCGACAGACTAAATATCATTTGAAAGCTTACAATCTCTAGTTTTGATATTTGGTGGCTGTTTTTTAAAATAAATTACAGAATAGCAGTAATTTATCAATTTGCAACAAGAATATTTCATATTCATTAGGCGTGTTTAGGCCTTTATTTTGAAATAGAAAAAAAACATGAAAAATCATGAAAGATTGGTAGAAACCTCAGTTTGTTTTCATGCCAAGAGTTCAAAAGATAACACTAATTAAATGTTATGAGAAAAAAAGGTCTGAAAATTTTTAGAATATAAAGAAAAATATTATGAATTCTCGATTTGTGATGCGGCAGCGAGCTATAACGCACATATGTGCTCTTTTTATGTTTATTAGAGGTTGAAATCAAATCAAATACTGCCATAACACCCATACTATTTCTGAATAGGATGTATACTTAATAAATTGTGTGAAATTATGGAAAGACATGGTTCAGATCACTCAAAACATATGAAAATGGAGACACCCGTATATGGTCAGTAAGGAAGCTGGCTGTCCATCTAGTGAAAAAGTTTGGTACTACGCCCAAATAAAATCTTACTGAAAGCTAATTTTTTGAGAAATCAACCTAAAATTTGGAACACAACTTGTTTAGATTTTTGGCTTTAATTTTCTAGCAGTTTTAGAGTAAAATATATTTTATAATATACATATTTTATATAAAATATAAATAATTATATTTTTACATTCTATATTTTCATAAACTCAAACTTATATAACTTTTTTTATGTTTCACTTTCATAATTTATTTCACTTCTAAAATAATCTGGCAAATGTCTTCTTAAAAACAAGACCAACCATATGTCTATATTCCAAAGCATTCTTGAATTACAACCATTTTACAACCACAAGTTTTTTTTTGTATTGCTAGTACTGTGTCCTCATACGAGGACATCATATGGTAAATCATAGACCCACTGTCCTCACATGAGGACATCATTTTCTGCAAAAACTACTTCCTGTACAAAAACAAATTTTAGTTATTATATTTATTAGGTCCTACTTATCCCAAATAGCAAGAACAATTATAAAATGCACACCAGGCAAACTCTCGGGTCTCAGGAGGTTGGTAAAATAATGTATTTATTAATGGACAAATCAAACACAAACGTGTAAGGCTTTTTATTTGTACACATAACATTGAAATTATGGAGTGTGTGTTGTGGTTGCTTCATCTGACAGAGCTTTTAACACAGGCTTCTGGCTGCTTTATTTTAAATAAGCACCAGATGGCGCTGTTCTCG